CATTAGTGAGAAGTGGGGCTCGGGATGATCATATTTTATATTTTTCTTCAATTTTATCCCGATGAGAAGTTTCGAGAGCTGATTGTATCTACTTATTCTAGACAAAGTGGTTAAGAGAAAAAGCTCAGGGCTTCAGAGTTTCTCATTTGTTGAACAAAAGACCTCAAAGCTTCCCATGATGCCTGGAAAGAAAATGTAGTGCCTTGTCGCAGAGCTGATGTTACTGAAAATCAGTCCCAAAATCTCATTGTAAGAGAGACCAAAGTACAGTGCTAAACGAAATCTCAACCTGGAATGGTGTCTAAAATTAACGTGAAGGCCTTTGTTGGGAAGAAATGGGATCCTGTGAAACTTAGGGTTGGGAACACATGGGCAGATAACCAGGCAACTGGGGACACCCAAGATCTAAATTGTCTTGAATCAATCCCAAGTCAGTTCTCCTATTTCCATCAAACAAATGAAGATAATCCAGTTGTACGTAATGAGTCTTTAGCTGAGATTTCATATGCTAGAGAGCCTGGGACATTGCCTGAGACATGGCCTGGAGCAGATGTCTTACAAAACATTTCTGAATGTTGTCCAGAACTGTCCCCACCACCCATTTTTGCTTCTTGACCTATAACCAGAGTTGAATTTCAATTGAGCCAAAAAAGGTAAGATACAAATTATGACCCAGGAAGGAAACAGTTTTAAATACCACTTACGATCATAAGACCAGTTGCAGAAATAAGAACTGTTGTAATTGTTGAGTATCTCTTCTTTGTATGTGCGCATGAAATAATTTTGTGTTTTCCACTCATAAAATATAAATGCTTTCTCAATTTTGAGCTTGTTAAATCATTCAGAAGGAGATTTCCCATCTTTCTCCTGTGGAGCCACAGGTGGATTTGGATTTACAGAGAGGCTTTTGAGCTATAGTGTAACTTCCTACAGACTACACGACCAGAAGGACTAGTCCTTAGAAAAAGACATTATGCTTGGAAAAAGGTAGAAGAGGAAGAGCCTCAATGAGACAGATTGACACAGGGACTCTAACAATAGGCTCAAATATGGTGGAAATTATGGACGGGCAAAGTTCAAATCTACTGTTCATAGGGTCACTATGAGTCTTGGTTGACTCACTAGCACCTCACAACAACAACACTAGAAATGAACAATGTCTTAAGAAGGGTGTGCAGATTGAATAGAAGAAGCAGGTAGAAATGTATTTTATTTTTTTTTTTTTTAGAAATGTATTTTAAATAATATTTTCTTATTTAAAATTTTATCATTAGTTTTGTTTCCATTGTATATGCAGGAGACAAAAAAATTTATGACTTAAATAAGACAGTGGTTTATTCTAATACAGAGTTAAATGAGTCAATAAAGATCAAGGCTCTATAGTACCCAGGCTATTTACCATAGTGCTGCCTTCTATCTCCACAGTTGCCTCATTGTCCAAAATGGCAACTTATACTCATACCATCACATGCCTCTACCAGTTTGAAAGAATTAGGGAAAGGGAGGGTTACTTTTCATAATAACACCTGAGGGAAGTTGATTTTATCAGAAACCCACTGGTAAGGTAGGTTTATTTGTATCATAATTCCTATGCAACAGCTTTCACTTACATCTCATTGGCCACAGACTTAGGACCAGGTTGTAGTATGAACAAAGTGTTGGATGGTTTAAAGATATTCTTGGACACATATTGTCCACATTGTATCAACTGAGACAGGATTCACATTGTATCACTGCTTTCATCAGTGGGTAAGGTGAGGGAGAGAAGAGAAACTGGGAAATAACATTTCACTGGACATATGGTTGCCCAGAATCCTGGTGGTGCAGTTGATTAAGGGTTGGGTTGCTAGCAAAAGGGCAGTGGAGTCACTCTGAGGGAGAAGCGTGAAGCAGGCTGCTTCTGTTAAAATTTAAGGCTTCAGAAACCTTTGGGCAATTTTATGATATTCTATAGGATCACTGTGAATCAGAATCAACTTAATGGCAGTGGGTTTGGTTTGCCAAGAATAAAATTTTAGGGATGGAACAAAAATTAACTATTGACTAATGAATAAAAGTCCCTTCCATGTTTTATCAAGAATTAAAAGCACTAATGGCTGGGGAAGGGGCAGATGACTCGTTGCTCATAGGGTCACACAATTTGATAGGGGGAGTGAAGAACGTGAATAAATCAGAAAGATCCCGTGTGAGAAACAATGTATATGAACTTTGTAAATAAACCAGTATAAAAAAATTTTAAAAATGCTAATTAAAAAGAAACGAAAAGCACGTATTAAAATAAACTTAAACCATAAGTCTAACTTCAAGACCAATTTAACCTTGCATTGGGGCTTTCTAACGTTTTAATAAGTTATCAGTATTTTGAAAGTTAGAAATTTCACATATTCCACAATCAATAAGAGTGCATCTGAATTCCAGGATCAATCTCCATAATGGTCTGTGTGTTTCCTACTGCCAAAGGGGCCCTTTAGAGTAGTGGGAGAAGATCTTCGCCCTGAAACCCACAGCATCCCTTTTCAGCAGGAAGTAGCTAAGAGAATACGCCATCCCCTTTTCCTTATGAATCAGGGTGAAGTCTCTCTCAGGGAGGAGTGGTGGGGAGTGGCGAAGGACACACCGACAAAGGAGATTAATCAGAACTGACTTTGACAAGCACTGTGGCAATTGGATAATTGAAACAGACATTCGGATGGCGGGGAGGAGGAACAGGCTGGGGAGGAGGGTAGAGAGAGTGGTGCAGCAATGAAGGGGTGAAAACGCAAAATCCCTGTAAATGTTCATTAAAACTAATAAAATATAATAATAAAAAAAAGAAAGAAAGAAAATAAACCCCTATCTCCGTGAAAAAAAAAAGAAATTTCACATATTCAGTTTTTTTATTTATTGTTGCACATTTTCTCCCCTCCTTTTTTCTTCCCCTTCCCCCAGTCCACTTTGCAACATACTTCTTGTTCCCGCTTGTTGTCATAAAACTTTATCTTTTTTTTTTAAGAACAACAGAGATTCAACCTTAAGAAGCCAAAGAATGTTGGGACTTGGAGGTCCAGAGCAGAGGGAGCTTGAGTGGCATAGTTACATTTGGGGTGGGGCAAAGATAGCTCTTACTGTTCCTTCCCCTGTCCCTTTCCAGTATATATCAACTGAAATTACCACTTAATACTCATTGTTTTGACTGGAACCCAAACTCTGTGCAAATCTAAGTATTTAAAAAATATGTATTCAATATATTTTTTTATTTTTCTATCCCAGGAATTATTAATTTCCCAGCCAACAAACACAAAGCCAGTCATTGCCCTGCCATGGTTTCTTTCTCCTGATTAAAATTTCTCCTGTATTGCTTTCAGATATTTTCCTAGAAAATAGTTCTTCCTTGTGGGAAAACTATTGGTTCCCTGTACAAGGTCAAGTTCAAACCTTTAGTCACTGACAAAGTCCTTCACCAATCTCCTTGAACCATACCCCAAACCCCAGAGAGAGAAAAAAGAACTCTTTCATTACACCAAATTTTTAATGCCTCCTAAAGTGAAAACAAGTTCTTTTCAGATGGTTTCTGGAAGTGGGCTAAGATTGTCTAGGACTGAAACTGCATTTTCAGAAAGCAGAGTTCAGTTTCTAAAGGTCATGTGGCTTGTGATTGTCAAATCCAGGTAATTGGTGTGTTTCTTGTCTCATTTGCGAGGACTAGAATGGGTCCCTTTTTTTAAAAAAAAAATATTTTTATTGTGACTTTAAAGAAAGTTTACAGAAAGGTTGGGTTTTCATTCATTCATTGTTGCACATTTTCCTCCTTCCTCTTTTCTTCCCCTCCCCCAGTCCACTTTGCAATGTACCCCTTGTTCCAGATTGTTGTCATACATATAATGCCTAATTATATATTCCTTTCAGATAGTTCTTCCCCTCATCTGTTCCAATACAGTGTTCAATATCTATCCTAAAGTGGATCCTTTTAAAGTAAGGAAGGAGAAGCAGAGGCCTCTCTTGCTGTAGCCGGAAGATGATACTGAAAAATTTTCAAAGGAAACTAAGAGATACCAAGGTGGACATGAGGGAGACAGAAAGATGAAAAGAAAATCGGCATTGCGGCCCAGGAGACTGGGACACTACAGGATTCTCATTCCCCCTCCCATTCTTTGGTAGGGTACAGATTTTTTTTCTTAAGTCCAATACAACTATTAGAATCGTGCAGAGCAACTCTGCTCAGCACACGTCTGGTCAGCAAGAGTAAGTTGCCATGGCAACCAACAAGAAGCCATCATGTTTTATTATTCTATTAATAGATAGGCATCCTTATGGCTCAAAACCCCAAATGTACAATAGTTTTCCTCTTCACTAGGGAGACAGTTATGCCCGTTTTATTGGAGAGGAAACTGAAATCTGAAATGATGGAACAACTTGTTTGGTGTTTCGATGCATAGTAACAACCGGGCTAGTATGACTCAGTTTCTAGCCTACAATAACCCACTTGTTATTGTTGTTAGGTGCCGTGGAAAGAACTAGGAAATGGCAAGTGTCTGTAAGCAAAAGGAGCTATCCAAGACAGTGTTTATGCCTCGTGTGTAGGGTGGGGCTCAGGCCCCTGAGGGCCAGGCCAGATGTCTGTCCGCCTTCCCAGATCCAACACAAAGCCCGCTTTCTCTTTTAGGAGATGAAGCCTGGGCACAAAAGAAGCAAACCAACAAAGGGCTAAGGGTGCAGGCCCGGAAGGGGGGACGGGGAAGCGCGGAGGTGGGCCTGAGCAGGCAGGCCCAGGTGAGCCTGTCTCTGCTGCGCCTTGTGGACACCGCCTGCACTTCTCACAGGCCCCCATGGCTCGGGCATCTACGGCCTGTCTGTCACCGCCTAGCGGGGCCGCAGGCTCCAGCGAGGAACAGTCCAAGCCCCGCGGCCACCAAATCAAGTCTCGCGCGGGAGGCCCCGGCCAAGCCCCGCCCCCCCTCGGGCCGCCTCTTCCGCTCGCGCCGGGGTGGGGTTTGCGGGCCTCCGGGAACCGCTAGGACGCGGCCACGTTGTCCTGCGCGCTTGGCGCGCTTGGCTCCGCGAGCCTGGTCAGCTGTTCCCACTTCCCGGTCCCCTGTCCCCTCCCTGTAGGGCTCGGCGGGGGCCACAGTCTACCGGTGTCGACCCTGCAGGCCGCTGAGCGCGGCCCTTGCCACTCCGAGGCTCCGGCGCGCGGGGGCGCCCGGGATCCCGGCCCGCGAGGCGCCGCCCCGCCCGCCGCCCGGAGCAGCGACCCGCAGCCGGGAGCGCACCCTCGAGCGGGGTTGTCCCCTGAGTTCGGACCGGGGGTCCATGCCCGTGCGCCCCAGCCGGCCGGCGCTATGGCCTCCGGGAGCGTGGCCGAGTGCCTGCAGCAGGAGACCACCTGCCCCGTGTGCCTGCAGTACTTCTCCGAGCCCATGATGCTCGACTGCGGCCACAACATCTGTTGCGCGTGCCTGACCCGCTGCTGGGGCGCGGCCGAGACTAACGTGTCGTGCCCGCAGTGCCGGGAGACCTTCCCCCAGCGGCACATGCGGCCCAACCGGCACCTCGCCAACGTGACCCAGCTAGTGAAGCAGCTGCGCACCGAGCGGCCGTCGGGGCCCGGCGGCGAGATGGGCGTGTGCGAGAAGCACCGCGAGCCGCTGAAGCTGTACTGCGAGGAGGACCAGATGCCCATCTGCGTGGTGTGCGACCGCTCCCGGGAGCACCGCGGCCACAGCGTGCTGCCACTCGAGGAGGCCGTGGAGGGCTTCAAGGTGAGGCCCGGGCGCGGAGGGGTGGGGGCCGCCACGGACAAAGGGAAGCGGCCGCAGGGGCTTCCCTTTTTTCCGCCTAGAAAATGGCTGAGCCGGACGTGTGCTTCACAGCCGTCATTTCCTCTCCGTCCCCTCCTGAGCCTCTGCACTCAGTGCTGGGAGTAAAACCTGTAGCTGGTGCGGAAGCCAGAAGTCTCGTCACCCCCCACTCCTCTGTCCTTGTTTAAACCACTTTTGAACACAGTGTGTAAGGACGATCCTTGGAGACATTATCCCCCCCCCCCGACGTCCCACAGAGTGTACACGTCCACCACCATCAGAGACGCAAGCCCTCCTGTGAGCGCTGAGATCTTAGACAAAACACACTCGGGGTAATTGGCTGTACACACATCAAGCCTGGAAGCATTTCACCAACACTTGCCTGAGCTGTGCGTAGATTCTCCTGGAAAGGAACAAACCAGTGCTTGGACAAATCATTTTACCTCTGAAACTCAGAGTGGATAACAACACAATTATTAGGAGAATTAAGTGAAGTAAGTGTGGAGCCCTCTGAGAGCTGTTGTATCAACAGGCTGAGCATTAACATGGAAACAACGTATCAAGAATGGTAGCATTTAAAGGCCTCATTCAAGGAATACATGATGCTACGATATCTGCATACTTGAGTGCTGCAGGAAGACACATAAAAGGTTTAAATGTTTAATACAGTTAATACATAAGTGAGCTATGGTGGCCTAGTGGCAAGAAGCTGTGCTGCAATCTGAAAGGCATGCAGTTCGAATCCATCAGCCTCTGAAAGCCCTGTGGAGGGTCAGCTATGCTTTGATTCCAATTGGACTACATACAACAAGAGTATTAATACATGATGAATAACTTAGCATTTAGATTGCTTTTGCTTATTTCACTCATCTTTATAATAACCCTCAGGTAGTTGGGAAAATGTTCACCAAAGTTAAACGGGAGAAAAATAAGAGAAGCCATTTTCTCAGTATGCTTCAATAACTTGGCATTAATTCTCCTAGTCCAGTGATCTTTCTAATGAAACCTTCCAGGGACAGATATTATGTACCATAAAGTCGGAAATGACCCATAATTCCTTGAATGCTACTTTACAACTCTACCATTCTTGATACATTGTTTTCATGTTAATGCTCAGCCTATTGATAAAACAGCTCTCAGAGGGCTCCACACTCATTTCACTTAATCTTCCTAATAATTATGTTATCCCCTCTGAGTTCCATAGAAGTAAAATGATTTGTTGCCACTAGGTTACCATAGTTAACCCATTATTTAAAACTACACACAAACTGACAAAGAGATTTGGTGACCACCGCATATCTTGTTGGGGGTGCTCTTGTGGCTGCCAGAAGTTATGCTCCTAACCCAAGAGTGGCACAACTCTGATGGTTGGAATCCACCAGCACCTCTAGAGGAGAAAGATGGACAGTCTACTCCGAAAACTCATTGAGTGGAGGGTCAATGACTTGCAATGAGGTTTGTTTGTTTTGTTTTTTGAGTTTGTCTTCCTGTGGTCTCAAGTGTGGACTGAAGAAAGACTCATCAGAGGCTTATTAATATCAGAAATTTGATACCATGCGTGAGATCAGAGTAAACGTGATGATGCTAAATCCTAAACTCCTGCCTCATCCTAAACTAGCCACTGTCTTGGTTTCCTCAGGAACAAATCCAGAACCAGCTGGACCACCTAAAAAGAGTGAAAGACTTGAAGAAGCGGCGCAGGGCACAGGGGGAGCAGGCACGAGCAGAACTCTTGGTAAGGGTTGTTGCAATTCTTGGCCCATATTGCTTCTGCTGGTCAGTCACTTCCTCTTCTGTGCACAGATGTTACTTCTGTTACCTTTGTCTAGTCAGTTCAGTATTAGGTACAGTTGATATCTAAACATCTAAGAGGTAACCAAACCTGTTTCCTTTCTTGGGGAGAGGATAAGAGAATTGAGGTGAGAATCCCAGGAGATTCTGACCTTTAAAGAATGCTTAACTTGCTAACTTCCTATGGGTCAGTATAGTTCTTGACAAAGCTAAAAAGGTAAAAGGTTTGGGCATATTTAGCCTTTCATGTTATCCTATAGACTAGAGCTAATTGTGACTTTGTGTAAGCCCCTCCATTGCTTTTTGCTGGGGTGTTCCTGTATGGACAGCATAGTGAAGATTTGAGAGGCAGAGTCTGGCCTCACCAACTTTACCAGGAAGAACAATTCCTAGCAGCAGCACAAACCAGCTCATAAGAGGTAAACTGTGGCCCCCACCTCTCCCCACACTTTTCAGTCCCAACACTTGCCATTGCTCCCATTGTACTCACCATTTCTCTACTAGACACATAATTCTTCATTGCAGTGGCCACATAGAACTCACAGATTCTACTCATTGTTATGAATTTTATTAGAGAAGAAACAAGTTGTAATTCTGATTTGGGAATAGTCAGGATACAATTCTTCAATCAGGATAGCCTCTTGTGGAATATTTGCAGATAAGCTTCTCTCTGACACTTGGCCTCACTGCCTTGCCCTCTGCCCTGTTCAGGCAATTGGTTCAGTGATCTCTTAGAACCACTGCCTTGCCCTCTGCCCTGTTCAGGCAATTGGTTCAGTGATCTCTTAGAACATGAAATTAATTATATGCTGCCCCCTTTCTGCCAGTAAGCATAGACCTAAAGGAGTGCTCAGCCTTTGCTCTGTGGCTCCCCCAGGAAGTACCCAGAGGTACCCAGTTCACCAGCAAGTACTCCGCTTTCTTGCTCCCACTCTGTCTTACACTGATCTCGGGCTCTTCACCACTGCTGCTGGACCCTCTTGAGCCTTCTCTCTTCCTCTCTTATTTGTGTACAAATCCCAGATCCAAAGGACATGATGTACTCTCTGGTTTTCCTTCTAATGATGATAGTGAGAGTCCTATTTCTGCCTCTAAATCAGTTTAAGCCAGGCAATATCACCAAACTGACCTAGTGTACTATACATGTTATTTGTTAAATCTCATCCAGAAGCTTCTATTTACCTTATTTGCTATAATAGCAAGCAATGCAAACACATTGGTTGGCCACAACATCTAACATTCAAAGTTTTGCCCAGACGCGGTGAGAGAAACTAAGTCAATACACAGAGCAGCTACAGATAAGTCATGTAACATAGTTTCCATCCTTCAGTTCTCAATTCTTCATTTTGTTCCCTTCCCTTATGTTCCTAAGGCCTTGCCCAGTTGACTGATGGACTAATTTGTGATAAGGATATTTGGAGAGTTTTGAGGAGAAAATGATATATCTATATAGATATAGATATGAATAAAACAAAATCTTTTCATAAAATCCTACCCAAGTGTTTTTAATTTTATATAAACAATTTCATAAACTATGAAAATAGCACATATCTCCCTCCAGTAGTAACATTTGTATCTGAAAAGTCAAGTCTTTGAACTAGTAACATCTAGTCCTATCTTGCGAGAATTGTTATTCCCCTTCTGGCCATGGCCTAGTAAAGTTTTTAGTCATAGAACTCTTTGCTCTGGTGCCCCTGATCTGACACTTGCTCTGCCTACACAATTCACGAGATTGACTCCCCTTGAAAATAAATGAAATAGAGCAGAGTCTTATCAATGAATCTGCTTGGATTCAAATGATTTCACACACGACAGTGTCCACTGTAGGAAGATTGTCAAAGGAGAGAGAAATTTTTCCCGAGAATGAGCACTTGAACATATTTCCTGGCTCTGACAATGAGTTTTATAGATGGTTGTTTTTGTTGTTGTTATGTGCCGTCGAGTCGCTTGCGACTCATAGCAACCCTGTGTACAACAATCCTAATCCTATCCTGTGCCAATCGCACTGCCTCTGACACACCCATCCCGATGACCCCAGTCACTGAATCAATCCACCTCATAGAGGGTCTTCCCCTCCTACGCCATCCCTCCACCCTCCCAAGGATGTCATATTTCTTTTACCTTCATTTTTCTCATCTATGAAATGTGTAGATGATATTAGAAGAAGGATTGTCAACTAAGGACAGTGCTGTCCTTTGCTTCCTTTCAAGTGTTTGTGGGTATTTTTTTGTTATTACAGTAACTTGTTGGGGAAGGGATGCTGATGCTAAATGTCCTGTAATACAAGGAATTAGAATTGTCCCTATCTGGATTCCAGTGACATTTTTTAGAAAACATGGATTTGTTGCTTTTTAATGTCTCTTTTATCTTTAATTATATGATTTTTAAGATTATAATGTATGATTTATATCTTTGGAAGACTTATCCAGCTGAGGAGAGATAAGTGCTTATCAAGAGTATTTATAAGCAAAAGTTTATATGCTTTACTAAGTTGCACAGTGAATACCTAGGAGGAGTGATTAATTCTGGAAAATGTTGGCTTGCTAACTGAAAGATGATTTCAAATCCACCAGCCTTGCTGTGAGAGAAAGATAGTTTCCTCCTATAAATATTTTTATAGCCTTAAAAACCTGATGGAGGGCTACCATGAGTTTTGGGGGGAAAATCTTAATGGCAGTGGGTTTGTATTTTGGGGGCTGGGCATGAAGAAAGTCATTTATAGTCTGTAAAGTGACAGAGCAGATATTTTGGGCTTGCAGGCCATGGGACTTTGTCACAACTACTCATCTCTGGACTGAAGATTATCCAAAAACTACTGGAACATCACATCAGCAGAGAACTACCAGAAGTCCAGACTGGGTTTAGAAGGGGTCGTGGTACTAGGGATATTGTAGCTGATGTTACATGGATCTTAGCTGAAAGCAGAGGATACCAGAGGAATGTCTATCTGTGTTTCATTGACTATGCAAAGGCATTTGACTGTGTGCATCATAACAAACTGTGGCTGACTCTGAGAAGAATGGGAATCCCAGAACACTTGATAGTGCTAATGCGAAACCTATACTTGGACCAGGAGGCAGTCATCAGAACAGAGCAAGGGAACACTGCATGGTTCAAAATTGGGAAGAGCGTAAGCCAAGAATGCATCCTATCTCCATACCTTTTCAACCTATATGTAGAACAGATTATCCGGGATGCTGGGCTCTATGAGGAGAAATGTGGGGTCAGTTTATCAACAATCTGCGTTATGCAGATGACACAACCCTGCTTGCTGAAACTGAAGAGGACCTGAAGCACCTACTGCAGAGGGTCAAGGACTGCAGCCTCCAATATGGATTGAGGCTCAATGTCAAGAAGAGAAAGATTCTCACCACTGGACGAACTGGCAGCATCAGGATGGATGGTGAAGAGATTGAGATTGTACACAGCTTTAGTTTGCTTGGCTCCACAGTCAACACTCTTGGCACCAGTAGCCAGGAAATTAAAAGGTTCATTGCCATGGGAAAGTCTGCTGTTCTCCAAAGTACTGAAGAGCATTGATGTCTCTCTGGAGACTAAGGTGTGTTTGATACAGGCCATGGTCTTCACAATCACTTGTTATGCATCAGAGAGTTGGATAATGACTAAGGAGGATAGAAGGAGAATTGATGCCTTTGAGCTGTGGTGCTGGAGAAGAGTGTTGAGAATACCATGGACTGCTAGGAAGGGTTAAACCAGGTGGCTCCTTGGAAGCAAGGATTCTGAGGCTCCATCTAACATACTTTGGACATGTTGTGAGGAGAGACCGGTCTTTAGAGAACGACATCATGCTTGGGAGGGTGGAGGGACAGCGCGGAGGGGAAGGCCCTCTATGAGGTGGATTGATTCAGTGACTGGGATAATCGGGATGGGAGTGTCAGAGACAGTGTGATTGGCACAGGACAGAGCAGAGTATAAGGCTGTTGTACATAGGGTCGCTGTGAGTCACAAGCGACTCGACGACACATAACAACAACAACTCATCTCTGTGGTTATAGCATGAAGGCAGTTGTATACACTATATTTATGAATGTGTGGTTTTTACCATAGATTATTTTTTCCCCATAGATAGATAGCCAAGTCTGTCTTCTGAGGGACCTCTAGGCAGACTTAAGCTGTTAACCCTTTAGTTATGAAGCATATTAACTGCTCCACCCAGGAACTCCAGACCAAGATAGTGCTGTGATAATGAAGATAAACCTCCTGCCTTCAAGGAACTCAGTCAAGTGAGAATTAGGTATATGTGACACAGCAGTCAAATATAATTAAGGATGGGGTGACAACCTGAAGTGGGAATATGCAAGTGGCTTAACTGAGGCAGTGTTCATGCAAACTCTTGGGAAGATGAACAGGAGTTCACTGAGTGAGCAATGACTGGGATAGCCTTCCATGAAGAAGAAACAGCACAGGCATGTGGATTGAGGACAAATGGTTCTGTTTAGCTGGAAGATATGAGAGCTGAGAGAAGAAACTAAAAAAAGAAAAGCCCAGGTTATACCTTTCCCTGGCATACTAAAACATAAGGAGTTAATTCCCGAGTAACTGGAAACAATAAAGACCATCATAGGAAAAGCAGATTTATCATGGAGGAAAGGCTATTTGGTACAGCTATATCCCAGTAAAACTTCGCTTATCTCCTATGGAACCAAGTTTTGGGACTTATTTAGAACAAAACTTTAATTTTAAAAAAAACAACAACAAACCTTGTTGCTATTGAGTTGGATGTGACTCATGGCTAACCCTCCCATAAGGTTTCAGAGCTGTAAAGTGCAGATAGAAGATTGTCCATCATTCTTCAGTGTAGCAGTTGGTGGATTTGAACTGTGTGCTTTTGCATTGGCAGTGCAACTCCTTCCTCACTAGGCCACCAGAGCTCCCAAAAGTTTTAATAGACGTCTGAAATGGAAAGTGGGGATGGAGAAGGAAGGACATAAAATGTGACAAACAGGTCTGCTCCAGGGGAGAAACCACAGAACTCCACAAAGCCAGTGAATTGGGACAGTTGGTGGATACCATTGAAGGCTAGATAGAAGGCCCGAAGAAACTGATCAAGGTGACTGTCTGGGGTTGGGAAGGGAGGTCTTAACCACCCTATACAGGGATGAAAGATTGGAACGAAAATCAGCTGAATATTTTTTTTTCTTTGTTTCAAAATAGCTCCCACCAGACTAATTTATGTCTTAACCTTCAGAGAAAGGTGTAAAATCTGGGCTATTTTTCTAGTCACTTCCTTCAGCTCTCATATCTTCCATTGGCCTTCTCCCCACACTCCTGTGCCCTTTGCCGTGCTGTTTCTTTTTCATGGAAGGCTTCCCCACTCATTACTCACTTGGTGAACCCTTGTTTATCCTCTAAGAGTTCGCATGAACACTGCTTCATTTAAGACTTTTCCATATTCTCCCTCTCCAGGTTGTCACCCTGTCTTTAATTATATATTCATGACTACTTGTGTCACATAAACCTAATCTCACTTGACTGGCTTCCTTGAAGGCAGGAAGTCCATCTTCTTTATCACAGCGCTATCTCGGTCTGAAGTCCCTGGGTGGTGCAGTTAATGTGCTTCACAACTAACTGAAGGGTGAGCAGCTTGAGTCCGCCTAAAGGTCCCTCAGAAGAAACACCTGACATCTATGTCCCTCGAAAAATTAATCCTAAAAACAAAAGCCCTGTCGACAGCTTTCAAGTCTAGTACTGAACTCAGTCCTGTGGTGCCATTTTGTTCATGTTATAGGTCATAGGTCTTTACAGTGAATAATAACATCAGCAAGGTATTCAGTCTTTACAACAATCAGCCATTTGTGGCATGAAGGACAAATAGAAAAGTAAATGTAGGACTGAGTTCTGTTACATTGTGGGGATTGCCGTCTATGGCATGATACAACATGTGAGTGAATTTTTGCTCTGTGAACTTTCACCCAAATCACAATAAAAGTAAAAAACAAAAATAAACCCCGTGGAGCAGTTCCACTCTGGTGCACTTGGAGTCGCCATGAGTCAAGCAGTTCAGTGGCAACTGTCTGACTGTTGAACTCAGTCTGTGGTCATTCCAGATATTCAGTAAATAATTACATGAGGAGTGAAGGAGATGCCTGTTTTAGTGTCCTAGGATGAACAGAGACTGTCTTGAAACAGGTGGTCAAGAGAAGGATTGTGAAAGAGTCTGGAAGCAAGCCTTTCTTTTCGCCCTTCCCTGTCACCTACACAGAGCCTGACCCAGATGGAAAGGGAGAAGATCGTCTGGGAGTTTGAGCAGCTGTATCACTCCTTGAAGGAGCATGAGTATCGCCTCCTGGCCAGACTTGAGGAGTTGGACTTGGCCATTTACAACAGCATCAATGGCGCCATCACTCAGTTCTCCTGCAACATCTCCCATCTCAGTGGACTAATTGCCCAGCTGGAAGAGAAGCAGCAGCAACCCACCAGGGAACTCCTGCAGGTAAGCCGTGAATGTCTCTGCTCGGATGGCCTCTGCTAGAGTTAGTCTTCCTTCTCCCTAATGGGTGGGGAGCCACGGTGCTAAACGCAAACATGGCATTTCCAATCTGTCAGCGACTCTGAGGGTGAAAGGTGGGCATTCTCCACCTGTGAAATTTGTAGCCTCAAAATCTGCTGGAGGGTCAGCTATGAGTTGGTTCTGACTTGACATCAATGAGAAAGTGAGTATTCCTTTCCCAAGTAGAATCCAGAACCACCTGTCACCTTTTAAATTCTGCTTGAGCAACAAAGATTTGCCAGAGGAAATGTAATGGAAACTTGGGTTGACAACTTGAGTCAGGCATTTATTTGTAATGTCTCTTAGAAGACCTGATGTCCAGGCCCGCCTGGCACTGTTGTCTGGTCACAAGCAAATCCCTTGACTCCTCTGGGCCTCAGTGGCCTAATTTGCTCTCTAGTGAGAAGACTTGGAATGTCTATAACATTTGAAGATTCTTCTCACTTCATCATTCTGTAATTTTAAAAATAAACAAACCCATTTAATGATAAAGTTAGCATCTAACTATTTTTCATCAGGCCCTATGCTAAATGGCTGGTGAGTGTTACCACAGGGATGAATTAAGAACTTTGACCACAGGAATGGTCAGCCCAGGCAGCCCTGTATTTAAACTGTGGTAGAAAGGTGATAAAACTACAATAGACTTGGCCCAACAAGACCACAGTAAATGTGTAGTGTCTGTCTGTTATCTCTACATTCAGCATGTACCCATTGATCAGGGTCAGATAATATTATAGTGAGTGGGATTAAATGCTAAATCTCCTGAAACTCAAGGCAATAAAGAAGTGGACAAATAATTATCACAAGTGTTGATAAATGCCATTTAAAAAAGACATAATAAGGGAGCTCTGGTGGCCTAGTGGCAAGAAGCTGCACTACAATCCCAGAGGTATGCTTTTCGAATCCACCAGATACCCTGCTGGAGAAGGAGGGTCAATCTCCTCCTGTACCAGTCAGATCTGATTTGACGGTTGTTTGTTGTTGTTGTTTTTGTTGTTATGTGCCATCCAGTCGTTTTCGACTCATAGCGACCCTATGCACAACAGCCCTAAACCCTGCTCTATCCTGCGCCAACCGCACTGCCTCCGACACACCCATCCCGATTACCCCAGTCACCGAATCAATGCATCTCATAGAGGGTCTTCCCCTCCTGCGCTGTCCCTCCACCCTCCCAAGCATGATGTCCCTCTCCAAGGACCCGTCCCTCCTGGCAACATGTCCAAAGTATGTCAGAATCCTTGCCTCCAAGGAGTAGCTTGGTTTAATCCTCTCCAAGATGAATCTGTTTGTTTTCCTGGCAGTCCATGGTACATTCAGTACTCTTCTCTAGCACCACAGCTCAAAAGCATCCACTCTCCTTCTGTCCTCCCTAGTCATTGTCCAACTCTCTGAGGCATAACAAGCGATTGCAAATACCATGGCCTGTATCAGGCACACCTTAGTCTCCAGAGAGACACCGTTGTTCCTGAGTACTTTAGAGAGGTCCCTAACAGCAGACTTTCCCATCACGATACGCTTTTTGATTTCCTAACTTCTGGTGCCAAGAGTGTTGACTGTGGAGCCGAGCAAACTGAAGCTGTGAACAATCTCAATCTCTTCGTCATCCATCCTGACGCTGCCAATTGGTCCAGTGGTGAGAATCTTTGTCTTCTTGACATTGAGCCTCAGTCCATACTGAAGGCTGCAGTCCTCGACCCTTTGCAGCAAGTGCATGATTTCCTCCTCAGTTTCAGCAAGCAAGGTTGTATCATCTGCATAACGCAGATTGTTAATAGATCTTCCACCAATCCTGATGCCACAATTCTCATAGAGCCCAGCTTCTCGGATAATCTGCTCTGTATACATGTTGAAAGGGTATGGAGACAGGATGCATCCCTGGCATACACCCTTCCCAATTTTGAACCATGCAGTGTTACCCTGCTCTGTTCTGACTACTGCCTCTTGATCCAAGTACAGGTTTCGCATTAGCACAATTAAATGTTCTGGGATTCCCATTCTTCTCAGAGTCAGCCACAGTTTGCTATGATCCACACAGTCAAATGCCTTTGCATAATCAATGAAACACAGATAGACATTCTTCTGGTATTCTCTGCTTTCAGATTTGACGGTACACACAAAAAATACATTTAAAAAAGACAGGATAGAGCAAGAGTGAACTGTTGCCTGCCACTGGTTTTTGGCTGTCTTATAAGCTGCCTCTTTTAAATGATTAAAATAAAAGTGGAATGTTAATTGTGTGAAATGTCAAAATTATATTAAACTTTTAGCATCCATAGATTTCTACTAGAACACAGCCATGGTCATTTATTTATCATTACTTTCTTGTATTGCAGCAAAAGTCAGTAATTGTAGCAGAAACAGTATGGTTCAAAGCTTGAAATATTTGCTGTATTGACCTTTAAGAAAAACTTTACTTACTTCCTGCTCTAAAGCAATAAGAAGAGAGCCTAACCTTGACCTTTAAGGGATACTGATAGTTAATTACCAAGGAGAGAAGGAAGAGCTTGCAAAGGAGACGTTGGGTCAGAGAGCCAGAAGGAAAAGCTTACAAAGGAGACAGTGATCAAGAGAAGAGAATGTTCAGGAATGGAAGAGAGTGGGAAACAAAAAGTAATTGATATCAGATAATATGAGCGCTGATAACCATTTGGTTTAAAACCATGTTGCTGATCTTGTCTAGAATGTTGCTTTTGCTGATCTTATCTAGAATTGCCACTGTGGAATAATGCAGGCAAGAGCCGTGTTGGAGAGAGTTGAGTGGTAACTGCTTGGGGTGAATGGAGACTATAAGAGTAGATAACTCTTTAAAAGTATCATTATGAAAGGATGTCATAAATTTTAAAAAATGCTTATGAGATGAGGTAATTCTAAAGTTGTATGGGGAAAGGATGGTTAGAGAAACTAATGAAATGTTTTACACATGGGTGTAAAGAGGAAAAGCCTATGATGTAAAAAGTTCCAGGTGAGGAAACAGCTTGAAGTTCTAAGACATGAGTTGCTGCTCAGTAATGTGCTGTTGCTGAGTAGGCAGGAGGGATGGGACCTAGAGCTCATGTGCAGGAATTCATTTTGGAAGATCCTCTGTTATAAAGACAGACAGAAGAGGGAAAGGCAGATGCTGATTTGGCACTAGAAACCTGGTGGCTTTTATTTTCTTTAGAATTTGGGAAGTGTGATCATCTGCCATCATGCAGACATTTGGGAAATTGGGAATTTTAAAGAATGGTAAAGCTCAGAAGTTTTTTCAATGTCTCAGAAAGCCAGGTGGTCTGTGAGCCTCTGTATGATTGTTGGTCAGTGATGATCTGGTTATAGTTGAGCAGTCTGCCTGTTGTGTAACATTCTCAGCTGCTTTGCTTTCTCAGACTTTGTCTTCTCAGCTGCAGGCACAAAGATAATAACTGGGGCTTTGCAAAATAGACTTAAGATTTTTAAGGCATTTTAAAGGAGAAGGTCTTTATGAAAATATTTTTAGAGATGGACCATGTAAGCTACATGATAAGGGAAGAGGAGAAAGAGAGACCAGTGAATTCCATAGGCATGGAGTACCCTTGAAGATACCAAAGAGTGATTATGGTAGAAGATGGTGGCAAAGCAAGCTGAATCTTACTTAATGGGTAAAATGCCAACTATATCCACCTCTCTTTAGTATTCAACAGGAGGTTTTAACCAATGCAGTTGAGTAAAAGGAAACAATTAAGGGTACAAGAATTAGAAAAACTGTCTTGTTTTCAGGTGCTGTGATTGTGTATGATTATCGAATCAATACTAAAGTGGAAGAATTCAGAAAGGTGCCAGGATATAAAATTAACACACAGAAATCAGAAGCTGTTTTATGCATAGATAACAACAATTAGAAAATTATAAAGCACTTGTGAAAGACTAAATAGATTTAAACAGATGAAAAGACATTTCTTATGCTTGTATGTGACATATTGGTATCTTTAAATTGGTAGTTCTTTTCTGTCCAATATGGTTGATGACACATAGCAACAACATTTTATATATATAAAATTAGTCTTTCACTAGTAAATCCTTCTAGGAATTGACTTTGAAGATATACTGACATATTAAAATATGTATGAAAAATATATACAAGATTACTTGTTGAAGCCTTGTAACTGCAAAAGATTGGAAACCTAATTTCTTTGAATATGTATTAAAGCAGTTTTATTGCATATACATGATAGAATACCATTGTAATTGTAAGGAAATAATGAGAAAGATATTAGCAATTTGATAGAGAGTAATTTAGTATAAAATTCTTAAGTGGAAAAAACTCCAAAGCACAAAATATTAGGATATCTTTTGTGAATGGAAATTAGAAAACACATATCTGTTTTGGAGGGTAAGGAAACATTGGGATAATAAATCAGAAAATAACAAGGCTGAGGGCACTGTGATGCAGGAAAGGATATACTTGAGACAAGATCAATGATTCGAGGTTCCAGTGGGCTAACTTGCTCTACAAATGCAAAAAAGATTATGAGCCCATGACATGCAGAACTTTAAATTTTCATAAGCCACTTCTCTGAGTATATTTTTTGCATAGTTTTAACTTTGAAATCATATTAATATTAGTATTTTAATAAGTAAAACTAAAGGACAGGAAAACCCTTACTGAATTAAGCCAACTATATAGGCAAATAGGATAGGCCATGGGATGGTAATGTAATGTTAGGTGCAAAACCTATAGGAGTGGAAGACTGGTTTTGAAGGAGCTGGGCTTTCAAGTTGATTGGAATCATGAATAGTGAAGAACTTCCAGAGGAAAATGCTTGACCAGAGTCAATGCCCTCAGAAGGGCATTTGAAGTGTCGTGCCCGCAGTGCCGGGAGACCTTCCCCCAGCGGCACATGCGGCCCAACCGGCACCTCGCCAACGTGACCCAGCTAGTGAAGCAGCTGCGCACCGAGCGGCCGTCGGGGCCCGGCGGCGAGATGGGCGTGTGCGAGAAGCACCGCGAGCCGCTGAAGCTGTACTGCGAGGAGGACCAGATGCCCATCTGCGTGGTGTGCGACCGCTCCCGGGAGCACCGCGGCCACAGCGTGCTGCCACTCGAGGAGGCCGTGGAGGGCTTCAAGGTGAGGCCCGGGCGCGGAGGGGTGGGGGCCGCCACGGACAAAGGGAAGCGGCCGCAGGGGCTTCCCTTTTTTCCGCCTAGAAAATGGCTGAGCCGGACGTGTGCTTCACAGCCGTCATTTCCTCTCCGTCCCCTCCTGAGCCTCTGCACTCAGTGCTGGGAGTAAAACCTGTAGCTGGTGCGGAAGCCAGAAGTCTCGTCACCCCCCACTCCTCTGTCCTTGTTTAAACCACTTTTGAACACAGTGTGTAAGGACGATCCTTGGAGACATTATCCCCCCCCCCCGACGTCCCACAGAGTGTACACGTCCACCACCATCAGAGACGCAAGCCCTCCTGTGAGCGCTGAGATCTTAGACAAAACACACTCGGGGTAATTGGCTGTACACACATCAAGCCTGGAAGCATTTCACCAACACTTGCCTGAGCTGTGCGTAGATTCTCCTGGAAAGGAACAAACCAGTGCTTGGACAAATCATTTTACCTCTCTGAAACTCAGTATGGAGCCCTCTGAGAGCTGTTGTATCAACAGGCTGAGCATTAACATGGAAACAACTAAACCAAGTGACTTTGCAACATAGTACTTTAAATATGTACACACAATAAAAAGATGGGAGGGGAAAGGATTAAAAATAACCTTGAATTCTTGTGCTTATTTCTTTTTTTGTTTTGGTAATACTTTGACATGTTGCCAAGAGGGCCAGTCCTTGGAGAAAAACATTTCTGACCCTTGAAGAGATAGAGGGTCAGAACAGCAGAGGAAGACCTTGGATGAGAAGTATTGACACTGTGACAGTGGCAATGGGGTCAGGTGTATCAGAGATGGTGAATTTGACTCAGGTTAGGACAAGGTTCAGAGCACATAACAACAAAAGTATGGGTGAAGTATTTCTAAAGCTATTTCTTGGTGTTTTAAAGAATTGAACAAATTAGTAAATCTCGTGACATGTAATAAGTATTAAGGAAAGGCAAAAAGTATTGGTTTGGAGTGGAAGATGGCATAAACTCACATGTTTCCAGGTCTGTCTTTTAAGTGGGATTAGAAGCAAAAGTATCCCATAGCAATGATCACAGCTAGTGCCCTGACTGGTTTCTAACTATCATTCCCTATTAAGAGGAACCATATGATAACTGGAGAAAGGACTGAGGTTAAAACTTACAGCTTGCTCAGCTCCACAATCAATACTTTTGGCACCAGCAGTGAAACAATCAAAAGACAAATTTCACTGGGAAAATCTGCTGTCAGGGACCTCTTCATAGTAGTGAGAAGCAACAATGTCAGTCTAGAGACTAAGGTGTGCCTGATCCAGGCCATGGTCTTTGCAATACTTGCTGTGCATCAGAGAGCTGGACAATGACTAAGGATGACAGAAGAATTGAAGCCTTTGTGTTGTGGTGCTGGAGAAGAGTCTTGAACATACCATAGACCACCAAGAAAACAAATAGATCTGTCTTGGAGAGTTTGAAACCAAGTTTCTCCTTGGAGGCTAGGATTTTGAAGCTCCATCTCACATACTTTGGCCATGTGGCAAGGAGGAACCAGTCCTTTCACATACTTGGAAGGGTACAGGGACAGCACAAGAGAGGAACACCTGGATGAGATAGATTGATACAGTAACTGGGGCAATGGGAGAAGGTGTGTCAGAGTGAGATGGGGTCAGGACAGAGCAGGATTCAGAGCTTTTGTACATAGGGTCGCTATGAGTTGCAGGCAATTTGACAGCACATAACAACTAAGAGGAGCCAAGACTCCATGGATTGAGAAAATGTTGGAGATGAGGAGGGTTAAAAAATGATGGAGGCATATCAAATAGACATAAAAACGAATTTGAAAGGACGCCTTCTGGCCAAGTCTCAGACTTTTTGAGCATTAAAAAAGTGGATCATAATGAGCTAAAGAAAGTAGGAACCTAGTTCGTTCATACTGATGGTAAGTTGGGTGTGGAGCTGATGCATTCTCACAGAACCTCCTGTGTGTCAGAGTAGAACTGTGCTTCAAAAGCTTTTCAGTGGCTGATTTTTCTGAATTAAATCACCAAGCCCTTCTTCAAAGGTATCCCTAGGTGGACTCAAACTGCCAAACTTTGAGTTGACAGCTGAGTGTATTAATGATTTGCACCATTCAGAAAGTAAAATACTCCATAGAATGCCAACTAATTAATATCGAAGGAATTTTGAAGTTGAAAAATCAGAACTTAGCAACTACCAAGTGAAAAACTAAATCAGAAAAAAATGTATCAGTGGGTACTAAATTAAAGAAGGATGGAAAGTTTAATGAGGATTGGGGTACTTAGGTAATTTAACTAGCTAATGTTGCTTACATATTATTGCTTATTAATTACAAAAGGAAATACAGTAATTGCAGTGATCCTTGAATATCCATGAACTGCTATAAGAATAAACATCTGTCATAGAAGAATTCTAGCCCTAGTGCTGCTTAGAAGCAAGGATAGTGAGACTTTGTTTCAAATATTTTAAGCATGAAATGCAGAGGGTCAAGGACTGCAGCCTTCAGTATGGATTGAGGCTCAATGTCAAGAAGACAGATTCTCACCATTGGGCCAATTGGCAGCATCAAGATGGATGGTGAAGAGATTGAGATTGTTCACAGCTTTAGTTTGCTGGGCTCCACAGTCAACACTCTCGGCACCAGTAGCCAGGAAATTAAAAGACGTATTGCCATGGGAAAGTCTGCTGTTAGGGACCTCTCCAAAGTACTGAAAAGCAGTGGTGTCTCTCTGGAGACAAAGGTGTGTCTGATACAGGCCGTGGTCTTTGCTATCAGTTGTTATGCATAAGAGAGTTGGACAATGACTAAGGAGGATAGAAGGAGAATTGATGCCTTTGAGCTGTGGTGCTGGAGAAGAGTATTGAGGGTACCATGGACTGCAAGGAAAACTAACAGATTCATCCTGGAAAGGGTTAAACCAGGCGGCTCCTTGACGGCAAGGATTCTGAGGCTCTGTCTTAACATACCTTGGACATGTTGTAAGGAGGGACTGACCGGTCCTTGGAGAGGGACATCATGCTTGGTAGGGCAGAGGGACAGCGCAGGAGGGGAAGGCCCTCTTTGAGGTGGATTGATTTAGTGACTGGGGTAATCGGGATGGGTGTATTGGAGACAGTGCGATTGGCACAGGACAGAACAGCGTTTAGGGCTGTTGTACATAGGCTCGCTATGAGTTGCAAGCGACTCGATGGCACATAACAACAACAGGAGGGGCCAACCCCTGGAGAACATTATCATCTTTGCAAAATAAAGGGTTCATGATAAGAAAGTGTTCAAACTACCACAGTGGGCTTAAGTACAGCAGAGATTGTGAGGATGGCACAGGATCAGCTTGGGTTTAGATATTGCCATGAGATATAGTCAACTCAGTGGCACCTAACAACAACTGTAATTCTGTTTTTGTTTTAATTTTTTGGTCCAAGGAAATATGTATGGAAGTATAAAGGGACATAATATGAACAATACACTTTCATATATGTTAAAATAGGTAAAGAGAGAGTGAGTAGTTGTTGTTACATGCTATCATGTCAAAACCAACTCCACTAACCCTCCAGGAGGTTTCTCAGGTGATAAATTGCACAGGATGAGATTCCAATCTTACCCAGAGAGCAGCTGGTGGATTCAAAACATGTGCCTTTTGGGATTGAAGCACGGCTTCTTAACACTAGGCCACTAGAACTGTCTGAAGGGAAAAGAGAATAACAAAGAAAATGTGGTAAACTTTGGTAAATATGGACAAGGAGGGTATAGAAGTTTTTTAAACTAGTGGCTTTTCTGTCAGTTTTAAATTATTTCAATGTGACATCAATTTGGTGCAAAGGTAAAATGCTTGAATTAGTCAATCTGTAGTGATGAAATCCCTTGGCCAGTGGTTGGTGGGTGTAGAAGAGAGGGCATAGGAAATCCTGCCATAGCAAAAGGCTGAGCTCCAGTCTCCTGTGTCTGATTTTCAGTTGCTGGAGACTGTGAGTTATGTTACGGTGTTTCTTATCTCTGTAGTTTCTCCCAGGAGATAATCAGCCCATAGTTGAGCTTTCAACACTTTACCACTCTTTTCTCTCCCCTACCTCCCAAGAAAGCAACAGAAATGTTGGATGGTTTCTAATGGTTATCTTTTTTCCTTTCTCTTGTAGGACATTGGGGACACATTGAGCAGGTATAGTGTCTTCTTTCCTTAATGTTAAAGCAAGTAAAGGAGGATTGTGCCCCTTACACTTGTGTATCCTGAGAGGACATGAGCCCAGAGTGAACATGTTACCAAAGTGATTCATATCCTATCCATTTCTGAAGAGTCGCTGCTGTGCAGGGACCTAGATGAGCCATGGCTCTTCTCCATGAAGCTCAGGAATTGTTGGTAAATTGTGGAGTAGGAGTTGGATATGGTGCTCATTTGGGATGGTGCTCATAGCACAGGGGTATGTGACATTTCCAGGATGTAAACTACTCCATGGAGATCTGAGAGTATAGGGATAAGGGGGATGGGAGTGTAGAGGGAAGTAGAGTTTAGATTTGCTGTTCCTCAAGAATTTCAGAATCCTTTCCTTTTCATGATGTCTTTTTCATTTTTATTTTTTTTTCCTACAAGGAGGAAAATAAGGCCTAAGAAGGAAGGTGTTGCCAACTAAGACTAACATGGTAGTGATGAGTAACCTGAGTTCTGTCTCTTAACTTGATGGTTTCTTTGCTCTCCCATCAATGCAAAGTGAGGAAGTGCTTCCTAGGACGTGGGATGTGACTAAGCAGGGAGAACTCTAGAGTGGGCAGGATGGTGGGGGCTGAGTTTTGTTTGTAGCATGGATGCTGAAGGCAAATAGGATAGGCCATGGGATGGTAATGTAATGTTAGGTGCAAAACCTATAGGAGTGGAAGACTGGTTTTGAAGGAGCTGGGCTTTCAGGTTGATTGGAATCATGAATAGTGAAGAACTTCCAGAGGAAAATGCTTGACTCTGAGGGCATTTGAAGTGATAAGGAAAAAATTGTCTCTGTTGGGAGATGGAGAAGGCCTTGTTGAATCAGAAAGTTTGGCTAAAAACTGTAGAATCATAGAATCCTTGATGTTGGAAATAAGTTAGAATGTATCAGGACTAGGTTGATGGCCTAGGCAAATACTGCTTTTCCTTGCTACATTTTGTATCTTGTGTCTTGTTCACCTTCAGTATTATGGAAAGAGCCTTCTTGGGCTCTGGCATTTTGAAATAGTAAGTAAGGATTGAATCTGGCTATGTGAGAGGAAATGCAGTTTCATTGATTAAGACATTTGAAAAATTGACACTGTGGTCAACATATTAAAATATTCAGGTATTAGCCTGAAGCTGGTAAGGTGGTGCCAGTGTTTCCTTCTACTTTTCATAAGGCATGATCCTCATCACTGATGATGTTGAGGTACTAGGATGTCAACCAGCAGAAGAGAGATGAGAGTCACATCACCTTTTAATTCTCAAATTAGCATAAATACAGTCACAAGGTCACACCTAGCGGCAAAGGAGATTGGACATCCATAAGCCTAGTAAAATTTGAAGAAGAAAAGATTATTGGTTGACAACAAGCAATTTTTGCCATTGGCATGGACATCAAGTGGGGGCATGCTTAGGTTTTCTCCAGTAAGTATGTAAATGAAGTATAATTCCATCTGTATTTGAGAGCCTGATGATTCTGGGTAGTTGCCCACCATGAATACCAAGGGCTTAGTCATGCAACCAGTGTTTCCTGGAAGGGTCAGCCTAATCAATTTCATTTATGAATCTTTTTTTGAGGACTTGCTATTTGAAAAGCTGTGAACTAGGTGCTTTGGATTCCAAAATGAGTCAGATGTCAGCCCTGTTATCATCTAGAGGATCACAGTCTAAGAGGAGAGTTTGAGAAAAGGTGTGGTTGATTTTAAAGACTCTCCACCTATTTAGCCCAGACTCTGCCTGACATGTGGATGTGGGAAGGGATTTGCTCACTTTTTTTTTCTTCTCCAATTTAGGGCTGAAAGAATTAGGATCCCTGAGCCCTGGATCACACCTCCAGATTTGCAAGAGAAAATCCACATCTTTGCCCAGAAGTGTCTGTTTTTAACTGAGAGTCTGAAACAGTTCACAGGTAATATAAAGGAAGAGATGTCATGAGGGCAAATGGATTTTCAGTCTGACAATCTATGGCCCTTTTCTAGCTAGAGAGTGAAAAGTAAACGGAATATCTTATCTTTTTCTTCCCTTAGAAAAAATGCAGTCAGATATGGAGAAAATCCAAGGTAAATATATACCCTTAGTGGGATTTTGATGTTGATCTTCCTTGGGAGGAAGAACCTCTCCATTAAAGTTGTGGGGAAATGACAGAAGAGAAAGAACCACTGGCCAGCTTGCCTAGATTTTCCACATCTTCCTTTTTTTATTTTTGGATTGTTTTGGGCTTTTGTTCCAATTAATAGCTTTTTATTTTAATTTAAAATCTCTTCTTCATTATATTCAGTAAGTTCTCAGATTTATCCACCATTGATAGAGGAGAGATAGGCAAGTCAAGATTTAGATTATTCAGAATTACTTAAATTTTTAGGTACTATTTATTTTAATTGAAAAAAAGAGTAAACAGAAACAAATTTAAGGTTCATGTGCTAAGTTCCTGCTGCCTCTGAGCACAGATGGTGACAAGAAAAGAGGTTGGAAATAGCACAGAGAGAAGGTGGGTAGGAGCTGGAACCCCAGGTTCTTAGCCTAGCTCTGCCACTTACTAAAAATTCTTCACCATAGTTTTCCCTAAGAACAGGAACTCTGGTGGTATAGCAGATAAAGAGTTGCACTGCTAACCCAATGGCAGGCATTTCTAATTCACCAGCCACCAATTACTCTGAGGGAGAAAGATGGGCTAAGTCCTTATTTTTGTTGCATTTTCCCACATACAGAGGGTTTTGGGTCTCTAGCAGCATAGACTTAGGTGGCACCCCAAGACTCTCCACAAGCATGACAAATGGAAAGAACTTCCATTTACCTAAATTTTCCGATCCCACTTCCCATGGAGCTCTTGCCTGGGTGGTAGAGTCATGTGTTGCTGAAAAAAAGAAATCAGTAAATGACTGACAAGCGGGGTTGGTGGGGGGCGCCTGGGCTTCCTAATGAAGACCAGTGCTCTGTGATAACTCCAACCAAAGTTGCTTTCAGCATCTTTGTTTCTGGAACATTCTTGTATGACTCTGTAAACTTTTTTCTTTTCAGAGTTGAGAGAAGCTCAGTTATACTCAGGTAAGTAGGTGATGGCAGACAAAACTATCAGAGAAAATAAATTAAAATACTTAAGAGCATAATTGCTGTTATTTCCCATTTTGGAAGTTATCTAAGTTTGTGTCCTTTAGGTTAGTGGTTAAATACTGCTTACTAACAACTAAGTGGTTATGCAACTAACTGTAAGGTTGGCAGTTTAAACCCTTAGCCTCTCTGTGGGAGAAAGACACAGCACTTTGTCTGCGTAAAGATTTACAGTCTTAGAAACCCTATAGAGGCAGTACTATGTCCTGTGGACTTTCTATGACTTGGAATTCTCATAAACTTTTTTGACTCTTTGCATTTTAGATTACAAATGTAAAAGTTATAAATAAAGGGAGCTCTGGTGGCCTATTGGCAAGAAGCTGCACTGCAATCCCAGAGGTATATGGTTCAAATCCACCAGATGCTTTGCTGGAAAAGGAGGGGCAATCTCTTCCTGTACCAGACAGATCCGATTTGACAATACACACACAAAATAATAAAATAAAATTTAAAGAAAAGTTATAAATAGTAACAAACCCACTGATTTCTTCTATGTGTTTTGAATTATTGTTGCCTTATTAAATGACTCCAGGCTCAGACCCGTGAACCTTTTGAAGTCAAGGGAAATCTAATTCAGTTGCTGTGAAGGGTTATGTTGTTGTTGTTGTTGTTGTTATGTGCCGCCGAGTCGTTTGCGACTCATAGCGACCCTATGTACAACAGCCCTAAACCCTGTTCTATCCTGTGCCAATCGCATTGCCTCTGACACACCCATCC